GGTCTGGGCCGATCAAACTGAAAAGTCATCAGAATCCAGTTACCCGCAGATTGTTTGGGTGAATCTCTGATGATGATGATGATGGGTTTAGGTCTTCATCGTTCTTACTGCTGGCTTTTTAAGCCCTTGTAGGATTGCCATGGTTTAAATAAACCACGTGGTAAAAACAGACTTGAGCTCGACAAGGTTTTTATTTAGTGAGGAGGAGTTGTGTCCTGCAGGATTTATAGACGCACGGCCTTGCTACACTCCATGAAATCATTCACGATGGCTGAGCTTGTGCTCGCAAAACGGTCCATTCCTCATCCCCGACCCGCTCTGTGCTGCTTTTCAGGGCCCATCCATCATATCAGAGCCTTGGTACCCCGGGGCGGTCCACTGACATCTCTCTCAACAAGGAGCCGAGGAGAGGGCGCAACACTTGACCACGCCAGTTTCAACACGTAGCACAAACACCTGGCAGCGCCGCTCGCCCGGCGACGAGCTTCAGGTCCGTCTACATCCAGGACACAGAGACGGGCCCGTGGCCGGAGGACTTCTCACGTGTCTCCTGCGGAGTGTCTTGCACACAGGTCTCAGTGTTCCTGGACACAACGGGCGTTCCCATTAACACCAATGCCACGCTGAAACTCGGCTCATTCCTGCATGCCTCTCTCCGTCTCGGCCGTCCGCTCACTTTGGGGCCTGTTAAAGCCGGCGACCAACAGAGTGCCACTTCAGTCCGCTATCAAACAGGAAACGGGCCTTACTGTATTACCCTTCCTCGTCCCTGGAGGCGTGTGTGTGTTCAGCCGCTTGAACGTGCCACAGCTTGAAACAAAGTGCATTTGACCGCAAAGGAAAATATTCATACACAAATGTCCATAGACGCACAGAGCTAGTGGAGGATAAAGATAGAAATACAACAAAAACTGTAAGTTTTGACATTGAGTCTGAGTGAAGAACTTTCCCTTTTTTCTTCCCCAGTCGGAGTTGCATGTTGGAGGGGCAGCGAAGGGGGAAGGCCCAGAAGGAGCGTTTGATTAAATCTGCGGTTGACGTGTGGGACAGGTGAGATTGATGAGGTTCCTCTGAGCTTCACACTGTGCAGAGAGCGGGGGTACAGGAACAGAACACTGCAGTGTAGCAGGACAGGGCTCGGGGCCCGCTCGCGCAGTGGGGTCCCTGGGCTGATTAATGGGACTGGAGGCCCTTCAAAAACAGGCCCTCTCCCCCCGCCCCGCAGACGGGGCCTGACAGTCCTCCAAAAATAACCTGGCAGGGGTGGCAGCCCACGGCCTCCGGCCCTAACAGGCTTCTGAAGGAAGCACACTTCAACCAGAGCCTGGGGGACACGAGCGGCTCCCGGAAGCCGCTATCAGCCTCAATACAAACTGAACATTAAAAACCTTCTCTGGTCAGCTGCCTGTAAAATATTTTATACTCAGTATATATAATGATTTTAAAAATAATGTTTTATACCGCTGAAGAAGGCCGTCCTCATCCAGATTGGTTAAACCAGACGAGTAAAAATAACACAAGGGAACAAGTTTTTTTTCTATTGGCAACACCCAATACCGTTAAAGTTCACTTTGTGAATACGATAAGAGGTTTTAAAGAACGTCTATAAATATTTCAGTTCAGGATTTGCTACTATTTACTGTATTGGGGTTTTTAATTCTACGGTGATGCTCGTGTCAATTTGCATTCAAGATGCTCCCCTAAAAAAAAAAAAGATTTCTGCCACTTCCATATGCAGAATCGGATAAGTGTCCCATTATTTTCAAAGTGAAAACAATCGGATACTGTTTTTGTATCTGATTGTTTGTTATTTTACATCATTCATGTGAGACAAACGTCACAATAAACATATCATAAAGATAAGAAATTCAACTTTGGAAATCAGAAATTACACTACTTCATGTTAAAATTTTTGATTTAGTTGTTCAAGTAAATCAAAGCGTTGATTAGTTCTCCAACGTGGAAGAACTTCACATTACTTTTCCACACTGACATATGGAGCAGCAGTGAAAAAATATTAGCTTATGTTTTTTCTTTTTGGCTGCTTGCTTCAGATCAACAGTTTTCTTGTTTTGTTTTCTTCACCTCCTTCAGTGTTACAGTCCACACTTCAGTTTTTACTTAACTCACAGGAAACAAATGACTGACATTAAAGCTAATACCTGAATACACACACACACACAAAAAGGTTCCACCACAGCAAAAAAAATTTAAAAAAGAAGAAAAAAAAAAAACACCTAGAGTGCACACATCGTAAATTTATCAGTATGTAATTATGGTAACACTCAGGGCAAACCTCCACCTCCAGCATCTCAGTGGAGGTTAGTCATTTCCTCCTGCAAAGGCAGCAGAATTGTGACCGGAGTGGCAGCTCAAAGGGCACAGTATCGCATGCTCAGTTTGTTTTAATTAAAACTCCGACGGTCAGGAGAAAAGCTCAGGCAACACAACCGAAACGTTACCGGGCTCCCAGAGCTCGGCTGCGGCTGCTTTTCTACAGACCGGTTCTGTAATTCGACTTAGCGAGATGAATTTTCAACAACAGGCATAAGTAGGCACGCGGGAATGCTGCTGAGAAAAAAAAAAAGGCTAAACGCAGAACGTTCTGAGCAAAGGCTCTGGCCGGAGAATGATTACGACAGACTTAATTACACAGGAGGGACTGCTGTGAATTAGCAGGCTTTTCTGACAGTTGAAAATAAATAGGGCAGTTAATGAACATCCTCAAAGGAGAGGCCACGTTTCCCCCCACTCTCGCTGGCCTCTCCCATGTGGCGCAGGAGCTGCTCTAATGGTTTTAGCTGACACCCGAGTAACTGAATTTGAGGCTAACTGGGGGAAAAAAAGAGAGAGAGAGAGAGAGAAGCAAATTAGAAGTCACTTCCTCTTTCCTTAAGCCTGCAGCTGACATGACTGATATCAGCCAATAACTGGACCACAGGAGAGGGATATCAGAACACAGGGCTGGACTTTTATAGCCGGTGTGTGGCTGTAAGGTCGAAGAAACATATAGCTGGCCTTCGTTGAGACACTCTAATTATAAAACTGCATATTTTAAGATGTTTTCATTTGTTTTAAATGGTAAAACAGTGAATATCAAGCCTTCCCTTCAACTGGAAGCTGTTTTAATGAATGTAGGCAGTTCTTTTCAGATTGAAATTTTACTTTAAGTTGGGTTGAGGGAGGACGAGCGACCTCCTTCTACTTTGACTAAAAAAAGGCCACTTCTGAAGTGGTTTTGGTCCAAGCTGAGTTTATAACCCGTTTTTCTGTTTTGTTTTGTTCGGTTTTGTTTTTGGAAATTTTTGCCAGCCTTTACACCGAGATCAAAGGGATTATTGTATCAAATTTTAAAGGGGCAGTATTATGCATTTTCCAGGCACACAGTGCTGTTTTATAGCACAATCAACTACAAAACTTCAGATGTTATAAATTATGTATAAAATATTACTTTAATATGACTGACATTAAAGCTAATACACACTAATAATAATACACAGACAAAAAAAGGTCCGATATAAGTTAACGCCTCTGTCTCTTTAAGAAACTCCTACTCTTTCTGAAGCTCCGCCTTCAGGAAGTCATCATAGCATGGCTCCTCTATTAACCCTTTACCAACGTTTTACCAGCGTTTTCCAGGCTCCTATAATGAGCTCAGCTGATGCTCAGCTCCACCAGGTGTTTGCCAATTGCTGCTGGCTAGTCTGAAGGAGCTGAGTGGGGGAGTAACGGGGGAAGGAGGAAGATCAGAAATTTAGAAACTGCAGCTCAGAGGAGGCGCTGCATCTTGAAGATGGGGCTAGGTTCCCCCAAGGCATTTTGCACAGCTGAATGGTTGCCATGTGAGATTCAAGGATTTCTCAAACACACATAAAAGAATCAAGGTAACACTCCACGCATGTTTTTTATGAGGGAATAACTTTATAACACGATGGGAAACTCAACAATGTTGATTTTACATGATACTGCCCCTTTAAAACATTAATCTCAAATATTATTTTGGGTTCTTTTGTCACCTCCTGCTCATCAATGCACTCTTGTAGTAATTTTGGTAAGTCACTGACTCCTGTACCACTGTTCCATGTTTTCTCCCTCTACAATGATTTTTATTGAGTTCCTCTGATTTCCCACAACCTTAGAAATTACTTTGCAACAATTTCCAGACCGACAGATCTGTAAAACACCTGAGCAGCGTTTAGTTGTGTCTACTACCTTCGATAAGTCAAAGAAATCTTGCGAGTTTTAGATTTTTAACTTAATGTCTGTGATTTTATGAAAGATAAACTTACAGTAATAAGTTTAGCTAAAGTCACGATGAAATTTGCCAAGCATACAAACATATTCTTATGAATAACGATTACATGAAATGACGAATCTCAGTTTAACATTATGTTGGACATCTTTGGAAATTCCTTTAAATTAAAGGGCTTCGAGGAACATGAAAGTGTCCAAAATTTAATCCCTTTTTCGGTTTATTATGTCGCTAATTTACTATATTTCCTGGAATGTATTTTTAAAGGAAGATTTGGGTAAATATTTCCTTTAATGTGTGTAAATTCACAATGCAATGACTGGTATGAGCTCAGATAAAGCACGTGACAATAAACTACATAGTTATCCGCGTTGCTCGACAACATAAAACATGACGTCGACCTGTCGCAAATCAGCTCCTCCCGGAAAACATATTAAACCCTACAGACGGATATTTTTCAGCATTTCAGCAACAACTACAAGTCATTTTCTAGTCTTTCCGTGCTTTGACCCGCCTCTAAAAGCTGTTGCAGCCGTGACGGTGTGAGTTTTTTCCACAACCCAGTGCTGGCAGCACGTTTAGTAGAGATGTATACCTCCAACATAGCTCACTGCTCTGTTTACAACAGAGACAGACAGGATGACCTGCTGCCGACGGCACCAATGTTCTCTAAACTTTAATAAAACCACGCTAAGACATACTTTTCTCACAGCCGAGACCGGAACTACCTTCGCTCTACAACACGTACCTTGATTTCCGGGCAGGCAGCAGCACAGAAGCACCTTTTCAGGGGTTTAAACCTCTGAATTAAGCGGATGAAATGTTTCAAATTGGTCCGCAAGGGGAGCGCCATGTTGGAATGGGAGTTCACTCTACGGTGGCTGTTAAAGGACAATAGACTCAACCGCGTTTCAGTTCAGAAGGAAAATAGCCGAGCAGGAGTTTTGGCAGGATCTAGCAAGGAAACTGAAACCTAGAACTTAGTGTGCCGTTTACCGAAAAGAGAAAAAAATCACAAAATAAACCAGGAAGCAAGGCCAAACAAGCCAACAGAAATAAACATGAACAAAGGAGGAAGTCGAATATATAATACAGTTTCTTTGGCGCAAAAATAGTAACTGCCAAATAAAAAATAAGGCTGTGTTAAATTCAGTAAAATCTTCACTTAACTTCAACGTTTTTTATGCTACTTTTCTTTATATCACCCTGTTTTCCAGCTCAAAAATTGGCTGCATGTTCTGTTGTGCGTGTGCGTTTCACACCGGAAGAT